AACATGGTGAAATCCAGTGTCTACTAAAACTACAAAAAATTAGCCGGGCGTGGTGGTGGCAGACTGTAGTCCCAGCTACTCTGGAGGCTGAGGCAGGAGAATGGCATGAACCCGGGAGGCGAAGCTTGCAGTGAGCCAAGATGGGGCCACTGCACTCCAGCCTGGGCGACAGAGCGAGACTCATCTAACAAAAAAATAAATAAATAAAAATAAAAAATAAAACAAAAATAAAAAGGAGTAGGCAGGAGAAAAAACAAGGAAAACCAAAGGAGTATGGTATCTCTGAACCAGGGTATACATGAAATTTTTAAAGTGGCTTAGGATAAAGTAGACATTCTTTTGACAGACTCGTTAGAGAAGCTGCAAGAACGAATGCAATCAACTAAGTAGTCAAAGACTTATCTCCCCCATGACTTTTGGCAAATCACAACCCCAAGCATCTTTGCCTTCATCGCACTGTGAGAAATCTCATCAGTGATAAATTGGAGGCCTTATAAGCTGTAAAATGTAAAATACAGACATCCTTGATTTATTATTGTAATGTCATTATAAGTGTATAAATTCCTAATAGAGTATAATCTTCTGAAGACAGGACCCTCAATCTTCTACATCTTTCTATCAGGTACAGTGGTATACATTTCAAGAGTATTTTTTAAAACGTTTGCAGAATATCTGGCAATAACATGAGAAAGTATGCACAGGAGGAAGGAGTGCATAGCAAAAGGCACACCCAATTTTTAAAAATTATTTAGAATTGAAATAGTCAAAACTTGATTCCTCCCACAACTGTGACCAATGACAAATGGAAAAGGTGAGCTCAGGATGCCTTACAGCTCCAACTTCTCCCCTAACGTGTAAATTCTTTTTTGAATGCCCTTAGAATGGAGAAGGAATTTGGAGAAAAAGCAGTGAACTGTAGAACAGGAAAACAGCCAACAGCAACTTTATAAAACTGTGTTCAACAACTGCTGGCCATTAAGGAAGAGCTCCTTAACTCCTCAAGTTGAAACCTGCAAAATGTAAATCAGCCCTTTGTGAGACAAACTAAAATAGTGTCCCCTCAGGGTGCACAAATACCACAGTGAAGTCACCACAGTGAGCTATTCCCTGACACAGTCAGAACCTACCTTGCAAAGGTTTTTCCTGGAGGGAAAAACTGCCATTTGTTCCATGTTAAATACATACACACTCAGCAGAGGACCAAAGAGAATAAATGGCAATAGCCTATATATCAATTATCCTAATTTACACACACACAAAAAGATATTCAGATACAGATTTGAAAGCTTCATTTAATCACTATTGGTTCCTACAGTTTATGAGGAGCTTGGAAAATAATCTGGTCTCAGTGTTAATTTTAGGAGTTCCATAAACTTTGATTGGGTTGGTTTTATAAGCACTCTTTTCCTTAATCTAACTGTTTTTAGAAAAAGGAAAAGCTACCTTTCTCAAGATTAGGATCCTGTCTGCCAAGTTTCCATCCACAATGATTATCAAATTAATTAAAGGCGCTGTTTAATAAAAGGCAAATCCTCAGTTACAATCATAGTATCAACTACCCCACTGGTACTGATAAAAACTTACTATAACTTATACGACATAAAAGCCAAACTTTTTAACAGCAATTGAATAATCCATCCAGAAGTTGAAGGCGAAACAAAAAAGACTTCTTTTTAGAAAAGGGTGGCTGGTTGAGATTTCTCCCCATAACAAGCAGAAAGTGCAATTCTGGTTCCCATAGCAACTTTAACTCTTTTCATCCGAGGACGCATTACACCCTGCACCCTAGATTACTGTGTATGGTGCTTAAGAGATGGCCGTTTTCAAAATCAAAGCTGATTTTCCTGGCTTTTGTACAGCAAATGATACAGGTATAATAATCAGATTTGTATTTGCCATCTGTTAAAATACACCTCAGCCTCCCAAAAAGTACCAGTTACAATGATCCTATAATTTGATATATACATGTGTATGCACGATAAATTTCTAGAGGGTCATATTAATATAAGAAATTGTGAACGGTGGTCTCTAGAGCGTGGAGCTTAGCAGGTAGCGATAAAGAGACTCACTTGTCACTATACTTACTGTTGGAATTTACAAGTCATGTTTCATTTTTATAATTTAAAAAAGTCAGTGCCCAAACACTTACATAACTACTTACATTTCTTATGTACGATTTGACTGCTTATTTTAAAGCTTACTGTACTGAAAGTTCAACATCAAAAGGAAGGCTAGAAAAGTGGTGGCTAGACCTAGCTCTTTCACACTACTCATTTCTAGTTTCACATGCTCTGTAAGGGCGAAGCACAATATGCATCACTTGTTTAAGGGTATGTGAAATTTGAACTGGAAGGGAGATTTAATAGATGCACAAAACAGTCATGGTACTTTAATTCATGGGAAATAATCAGTTAGCTGCAGCCCATGGAGTAAATGGAGTTGGGGAGTGAATATGCTGAATATCAAAACACACAGTGACACGTAACACCTTGCATACTTGTCATAAATTGTTGATCAAAACATACATGTATACATGAAATCTTGTCATTAAAGACGAGGTGGGGAGGGGGGAGAGAAAGAGAAACCTCAACCTCACTACACACAAACCTTTCCCCCTTCCCACCTCCTCCACGACACATGACTTCTTCCAGGATGTCATTTCTGATCCAAGAAGAAGTGTAAGTCAAGTATCCGAGTCAAGTTAGTTTAAACTAAAAAGTACGTATTTTTGGCTCAAGCCTGTAATCCCAGCACTCTGGGAGGCCAAGGCGGGCGGATCACGAGGTCAGGAGATGGAGACCATCCTGGCTAACACGGTGAAACCCCGTCTCTACTTAAAAAAAAAAAAAAAAAAAAAAAAAAAAAAAAAAAAAAAAAAAAGGTACGTATTTTTACAGTTAATCACAATACTTGTAAGAAAATACTTTTAACTTAAAAAGTTTTAAACTCAGTTTTATGAATTTCCTTTAGCAACAATATTACCAAAAGTTGAGGGAAATTTCAGCAAAACCAAGTCCAAGCATAAAACATTTTATAGTAAACAGTGATGTTAAAGGCAAACTCTAAGATCTCTTTTGACCTTTTAATCAACCATGACCCAAAGTTAACATACCTGCCTCCCAGTGGGAGCAATCTAACTTAACTGATACCAGCTTACTCTACCACATTATCTTTGCAACAGGGTAGTAATCACTGAGTAATCTATCTACCTCTGAAATCACCTTAAACGACCTTTAGCTACACAGTGCCTACAAGAGAAAATTCAGAGAGCCAAGATTGACAGCCCCACCTTTATGTAAATAAGAGACTGTTGTTCAGTAATTGTCGATTGAATTTCAGGCATCTGAGATTTGAGACATCAGGCAACGCCTTTTCTTTGAAAATTTTAAAATCTGAAAATGAACAAAATAAGACTTCAAGGGTATTCAAACTTGAACACAGAAACTTTAACAAGTCAAAAGTTAAACAAAAATACTTAGATACAAATTTCAAAAATAATTTTGGCCAACTTAAAAAATATAACTGGAGGAAAAAAAGAGCAATCCCACAGATCTTAGGAAACCCTCGGTCACTAGCTATGTCTTTAGAAAGGCACCTTTAAAAAACTGAACTCAGTGCACTTTACTTCTTCAATCCCTGAAAAACAGATACCTCATAGTATCATTCTATGAAATTATTTTCAAAATGTTTCATTTGTTTAATGACTCAACTGCAAATAAGATGTTAAATAATTCTGCTTTTCTAACACTTATTCCACACACAATAATTTAATCCCACTTTTCAAAGTACTTTTTGTAAGTCAAATTCTTTCTCTGGAATCCTGATACTTAAATAAAGTTTAGTGTACCGGAGAGCAGCAAAACCATGATCAAAAGAACCATTTGCCAACAACATGTTCCTTTCCAACACCCCTAAGGGATATTAGCCTCACAGAATTACCCTCCCTTGACAGAAGAATGGCTTGGGGCAGTCTGTTCTCTCCGGAAGTTCGTTAGTACCAGCTACTGGTAATAATCAAGCCTTCCAAGGCAATGGGGAGTGAAGCGCTAAGTCAAACGTCAGTTTCTCACACACTGGTTCCTCGGTTAAACACAATAATGAAACTTTCTGCCTATTTACATATCTCAAAGATGAGGAAAAACTTACCTAGATCGAACATTATTTTTGGTACTTCCAGATACACATGTCCATCCTCATCCACTGCCCTGCCATGAAGTTTTCTATACATCCCTTTCCTGATTTCTGAAAGATCACTTATACGTGTTTCTACACTTGCTCTGAATGAAAGCAAAAGGGAAGACAGTAAAGGAGAGCCTTTTTACCCAGGGACAAGGCTGTGCCCAGCAATTACAGTGAGTGCACTTCCTTTTGTTTATTCTGCACCAGGATTAGCCGTCAAATCGCTTTGTGGCTTTTAAGGCTGAGCAGCTATAAAGAACAATAACTTCAAAAGTGAATTTATGTTTTAATTCCACATAGGCAATATAGGCAGCGAAGGCATTTGCTCCTCTCAAATTCCCCCTTAACTCAACAGAGCAATCACCCTCAGCCCTGGAGGGACATCTAAACATTTTAAAGGTGAAAATGTTTAAGGCGGACCTTCTTGTTTCTGATCCAAGAATGCGCTGTGACGGCCTTGCTAGCAAAGAGAAAAGTGGGGACGGGAGTTTCTGATTAACGCTTCAGAAAAAAAAAAAAGGTGGGGGGGCCCCACAATCCTAACAGCCGAAAAGCAGAATAATCAGAGAGCCAGAATCCCGTTAAGTCAGAAAGAACAGGAAAGCAGAGAGACTCGTGCGGAACATTCTGGCCCTCACGGGATGTTAAAAGCTAGATCTATTTCAGAAGTTGGAGAAAGGAGTTTCTGTGTGGCCCATGCCGGGGAACAGAGAGCCAACACGCGGCTGTCTGGGTCCGTGAGGCCGGCTACGGGGACGGAGCCGGTCCGGGAGCTGGGCTGCTGGCGAGCAGTAGCAGGGGACGGGGCTGTCACCGCTTACCCAGGTGCAGCGTGAGGTTGATGGAGCTGGGGTACTGCACCCCGGCCAGCATGGTCTGGCTTTGCCACCAGGTGGTGTCGGCCTGGTTGTTGTAGTCGGTCAGGAAGGCTGCCCCGTGCTGCAGGTGGGGCTGCCCGGCGTCGCACAGGTGACAGGACTTGGTGACCCCGGTCACCCCGGTCTGCACACAGTACTCCTCGGGCGGAGTCCCACACGTGTTGGTAGCCACCACGGTCACGTTGAAGGCGGCGTTGACGAACTCGGGCATGCAGCGCTGCGGCCGCCCGCCCTCGTCCGTGCACTCGTCCATGGCTGCCTGGGCACAGCCCGCCGCGGCGGCCGCCAGCACGGCCAACACGGGCCAGAGCCGCCCCCGGCGCCGCAGGGCCGGCGCGGCCCGCTGGCTCCCCCTCATCCCGCCGCCCGCACTTTGGGCCACGGCGAAGGCAAGGGCACCGGCGCGTTCCTCTAGTCTAGCGGCGTTCCCCGGAGGCCGCTTCGCTGCTTGAGCCTGGGGGCCCAGGGGCCTGACTCCGGGGCGGGCGGTGGCGGCGACTCGCGCCGGAGAGACTGACGGGCGGGCGCCCCTAGCGAGGACCGCGCTGCTCGCCGACCGCGGCCCCCGCGCGCCGCCTCTGCGCTTCCCTAACCCACCCCGCGAAGCAGCCTGCACTCCGCGCCGACCCCCGACTTCCGAGCGCGTGCCCGAGTGCGCGCCCCCGGGGAGGAAGGAGCAGGGGATGGGATAGGCAGGGTCGGGTGCGGTCTGGGAGAGGAGAAAGCCCAACCCAGTCTCCTCTCAGCAACTCCCGCGGTCCCTGGGGCAACTCCCCGGCCCTGCGCGCCCCATGGACTGCGCGTCCGTCCCGGCGACTCCAGGCGGCGGCGGGGGCGGCGGCGTCTCGTGCTCGGGCCCGCGGCGCGCGACCAGGGGGGAGGGGCGCGCGGGGTGGGCGGGGAGCCGGGTAGGGGGTTGGGGGAGGGGAGGGGAGAGGAGGGGAGGGGAGGGGAGGGGAGGGGAGGGCGGTGGGATGGTGCATGCCGGGAGGGAAGGGCGGCCTCGCAGACCCGGCTCGCCGCGCGGGAGTCGCCGGGGTCCTCGGCCTCCGCGGCCTGGGAGACTCTGGGTTGCGGGAGGAGGCGGGGGAGGGCGCCTTAGAGGGGCGACGCCGGGTCAGGAGGTCGCTCGGGGTCGTGCCTGGGGCCTCGCGCCCATTTGGGCTGCTGCAGGAGGGTCCCCGCCCAGCCAGGTGTCGGTCCCACCCGGGAGCGCCCGCTGCTGCTCGGGGTCCCGCGCCAGCCCCTCCCGAACAGAGGTCCGGGGTGTCCATGGGGCCGACACGGTCCCTGGAGAATCAGAAGGGCCCGCAGCAGCCAGATGAGTTTTGTGAAGCGATTTCCTGCCGCTGAATTAAAGTGTAACCAGTCGTTTTACCGGGGCAAGGAAGGAAGTGAAAAGGCTGGGAATGGAATGACATTTTTCCCTTGGGTACGCACGACCCACTGCGAAATTCTTCCGCTGTGTTGTTTGTGTTCCTCGGCTTGCCTTTAAAAGACTCGAAATTATGTGGATTCTGACATCCTCCTTTTCGGGCCTGCTGAGTCACGGAATATTCTCAGTGCCAGAATGACTCAGTTCACAGAAACTGAGCCAGAAGATCATGAGTTTTAGTCCCTGAGCAGAACCTGGGCGCTTACCCAGGGCTGATACGGCAAGCAGAGACCAGGGCAAGGAGGCAGCAGCTTGAAACCCTTGGCGTCCCCAAGCAGAGAAGAAGGATGCACATAGTGGATGACACGGATTTGTTTTGTTCTAACTTTTGAGGAACTTGATGATAAGGTGTGGATAATAAGCACACGGCAAAAACAAAACAGAACAACAACAACAAAAAAAACACATGCATACTTTCGGACACAGTTGTCCCATTAAGATAGGGATAATGGGAATCTGAAACAAGGAAATAAGCATATGTTAGGTGACTCTGGATAGTTAGGGTCAGTGTTAGACGCAGACTGCTAGTTAGGAAAACCTTAAGGATAATGTTCTGGTCGGATGAAGAAGGGAGGGGAATCTAGGGACGTATTACACGACTGAGCTTACTTAGCAAGTATGTTCATCACTGTTCCGTTTATTTGATGAGATGGGTGGACATTATGCATGGCTAAAGGTGCCTCATTCTTGGCACCTCTTTGGGAGAACTAAGTTGTGGGGGCTATAATAATTTTTTAATCCTTTCATACATGAGTTGAAGCAAAATAAATACGTTCATTTACACCTAGAGGGGATTATGTGCTCTCAGTCCTTCGTTGTACTCGAGAACAAACGTGGGCATATAGGACAAAAATAAGGATGTTAGTTGTAAATAAAGCTACAGATTTGTAATAAACGTGTCTATATTTTAATAAACATGTTAATGAATTTGCGTTATTATGCATTTTTAGTACTTTGTTATATAGTGACCAAAGCGTGGGTCTGTTTCCAACAATCAAAATAAAGGCAAGGAGACCCCCAAAGGCTGTGAAATCAACATAAATGGGTTTCTTTGTCATTGCTGCCTTTTGAGTCCTAATGTCCAAGATTAACATCAAGATATTACTTATGCGAATTTTCCGTAATTTAATTACCAGAGCCTATCTGATATTTGTAAAGCACATATAGAGACCTTGAATTAATCCCTCAATTCTCTTGCTTATAGAAATGTGTTACAGTGACAAACATCTGTTTTGAAAAGAGGTAAAGTGTAACCAACCAGTGGGCTTGGTGATAAAAATTCTGCTCCGTTATTTGGATCTTGATTCAAACAAATCAATGGTTAAAACAGAATTTTTAAAACAATTTGAGAAATTTGAACACTAATTAGATGTTTGATGATATCAACAAATTATTTTAGCCACCTGGAGATGCCACAGTCTACTAAATAGACTTAGTATTTAAAGAAAAAAAAAAGTGAAAGTGTGTAAAATTTTCTTTTACTGCAGGTTACCCTATTTTTCAAAAAACCCCAGAGCCTTTTGAATGCATGTTCTTAAGTGCTTAGAAATTTCATTATCAGCCGGGCGCGGTGGCTCACGCCTGTAATTCCAGCACTTTGGGAAGCCAAGGCGGAGGATTGCTTGAGTTCAAGACCAGCCCAGCCAACATAGTGAAACCCTGACTCTACTAAAATTACAAAAATTAGCCGGGCTGGCCGGGGTCGTTGGCTCACGCCTGTAATCCCAGCACTTTGGGAAGACTGAGGCAGGTGGATCACTTGAGGTCAGGAGTTCCAGACCAGCCTAGCCAACGTGGTGAAACCCCAACTCTACTAAAAAATACAAAAATTAGTTAGGTGTGGTGGTGCGTGCCTGTAATCCCAGCTACTCAGGCAGCTGAGGCAGGACAATCGCTTGAACTGGGGAGGGCGGAGGTTGCAGTGAGCCAAGATCACGCCACTGCACTCCAGCCTGAGCGACAGAGGAAGACTCTGTCTCAAAGAAAAAAAAAAAATCATCCCGGCGTTGTGTCGCATGCCTGTAATCCCAGCTACTCGGGAGGCTGAGACAGTAGAATTACCTGAATCCAGGAAGCGGAAGTTAAAATGAGCGAAATATACTGCACTCCAGCCTGGGTGAGGCTCTGTCTCAAGAAAGAGAAGAGGGGAGGGGAGGGGAGGGGAGAGGAGAGGAGAGGCTCTGTCTCAAGAAAGAGAAGAGGGGAGGGGAGGAGGGGAGAGGAGAGGAGAGGAGGGGTTGGAGGGGGGAGAGGGAAGGGGAGGTGGGGGAGGGGGGAGGGGAGGGAGGGGGAGTGGGGAGGGGAGGGAGAGGGAGGGGAGGGGGAGGGGGAGGGGGAGGGGAGGGGGAGGGGGGGGGGAGGGGAGGGAGGAGAGGGGGGAGGGGAGGGAGGAGAGAGAAGGGGATTATCTGAAAGAGAGAGGAAGAAAGAAAGAAAAAAAGGAAGAAAGGAAGGAATGAAAAAAGAGAGAAAAGAAAAAAGAAAGAAAAAAAAGAAAAGAAAAGAGAGAATGGAGGGAGGGAGAGGGGAGAGGGAGGGGGTGAGGAGTTTCATTATCCACCAGACATGGTACTTAGACGAAAAATGTTTTATTCAGGTCCCTCAAAAGATGATCTTAGTGCCCAATTATCAGTGTCTATGCAGCAACAAAGGCAGGATGAGGAAATGAAATTGTTTATTGTTTATTGTACAGGCAAGAGAGCTCCAATTAAAGAAAAAAAAATGTGAAACTCCAGAGAAAAGAGATTTCTCCCTTCATAATCTATAAATTCAAGGAAGGATGCTGATTGGCTTGACTTTGGTCACCTGGCATACCCCCAAAGCTAGGTAAATAGAATACCGTGTGTGTGGTGTTTGGCAGCCCACCAGAAAACCATGGAATGTGGGAAAAGCAATTGAAAGGAAAGCTTGCTGTTGCCAGAAGAGGGCAGGTTACAAGGCAGAAAAAACAACGGATGTCTACTACAGCAGGATTTAGAATGTGTGATATAATTAGAAAAATAATTTAAAAGTTTGCACTGACCTTTCCATTGCAACTTTGTCATTTTTTATCTTTTTATAATTACCAATGCGTTTATTTTTTCAGTCCTTATTCTTTCTGACCTCATTTCCTTGTATTCTTCCCAAGCCTAAGCCTCACTATACTATATGCTTTATCTTTTTATATTTAGAAATGCAACCTAAACATAATAATTATTAATAATGATTGACAGTGTTAGCCTATATTTACATTCTATGTTACACCTTTCAAAATTACACGGAAGCGAAGAATGTTATCACCTATGTGGAGCTGAAGAAATTAAGGCTCAAAGAGATTAAGTAACCTCTGTAGACAAGTAGGAGGAAAGTCAGGCCGGGAACCTGCTCTTTCTGGCTCCCTGACCAATGCTGTTTCCTTTTCGGTTATGTAAAGGTCATGATAGGAAAGAGGATAAGGGAAGAGCGTTCTCACATTCCCAAAGTTTTTAGGTTATCAAATAAGAATTTAAAATTAGGTAAAAATTAATGTGATACTGGAAGAGAATGACAATATCCCTCTTCAAAGTTACAATGACTACACATGATGCTTTGTGTTAGGTTTATAGATCCAGCCTAGGTCCTTGGTACAAATCCAAGCAAAACAAGATAAGGTATCTTTTGTGGTGAGCTCAGGTAAAGACAGGATTCCTCTTGTATGAGGTAAAACCCTTCCTTCCCACTCAGCCCCATGCACCCAATTCTTCCTTTTTTTTTTTTTTTTTTTTTTACAGAATTGCCCAAACTCCTTTGTTTTGGAAAAAAAAATTTACTTTTCTAATAATAATCATACATATTTATGGAGTACATAATGATGTTTTGATACATACAGTGTATATTCATCAAATGAGGGTGACTTGCATATATGTCACCTCAAACATTTATCTTTTTTTTTCTTTAAGTCACCCACCCTGGAGTGCAGTGGTGCAAACACAGCTCACTGCAGCCTCCAACTCCAGGGCTCAAGTGGTCATCCCACCTCAGCCTCCCGAGTAGCTGGTACCACAGGCATGGGCCACCATGCCCGACTAATTTTTTTTTAATTTTAGTGAAGATGTGGTCTCACCTTGTTGCCCAGGCTGATCTTGAACTTCTGGGTTCAAGCGATCCTCCCGCCTTGGCCTCCCGAAGGGCTGGAATTACAGGTGTGAGCCATCGTGCCCAGTCATCATTTCTTTGTGTTAAGAACATTCAATATCC